CTTCCCATAAGGGGTGGTACTTATCTCATATTTGCTTCCACTGTTGGGAAATTTGGAAGTTTCGCTGCAATGTAGTTCATAGGGACATTGTCCCTACTCCGGTTCATGTTATTAGAAGTGCATCAAGTCTTGCTGAGGGATTTGTTAGTGTTTCCTCCCCTGTATCAACATTGACGGTGCATCTGCCTCTACCCCCTCTTCCGCTGGTATGGGTGCTATTATTCATGACCATATGGGTGATTTCATTGTTGCTGACGCTCAAGATTGTGTGTTATCTTTAGCTGTGGAAGTGGAAGCATCCACAGCTATTTTGGGTATTTCCCTTGCTCCATCTCTCAACCTTCCCAATTTGATCTTTGAGACTGATTGTCATGATTTTTTTTTGCCTTAATGGCAATTATGAGAGGTGTAATTGGAAGTTATATATTTTTTTGGATGACGACTTGGCTCTCTTTTCAATCAATTCTCATGGAACTAGATTTGTTGTGAAGCAAATTGTGTTGTTGATGCCGCGGCAAAGCTTGCTAAACGGAGGTTGTGCTTTGCAATTGGTTCAATAGTCCCCCACTCTCTCTGTAAGGGAGATGTTAAATATTAAACATTTAAATTTGATGGCTTAAGTGCAATTTGATATATAATATAGTTTTACATTCCACCTGACATGTTAAATTAAAATATTATTTTATTACTTTCTAGGCATATTATTTGAAAAGAAATAATGAAATAGCATCATAAAGTCAAACAACCAAAAATAACTGCAAAAGAAATAAATGTTATTCTACTTAGGATTTAACATTTTTGTTGAAGTGAGTCTCAACTATATTTTCTACATACTAAAAATGTTACGTTGGATTTAACATCTTCCTTGGAGATGCTCTAAGAAATGACCTTAAGAGGTCATGGCCAACTTTCTAGATTACATGATATTTAGTATATATGGAGGTCTCCTTATTTTAGGAAGAGGTAAAGACCATGGTTGAAGTTCTATTTTTCCAATTCCTCTTTAAAATTTGTTTAAAAATATAATTAGGGAGCTTATTGTAATGCTCTTACCCCATAACGGACCTATGAAATTTTCTAAGGTCTCTCGTGCTTTTAGGCTTAGGCTTTTTTGTTTTTGTCTGTTTGGCTTGTTGCTTGGTTGGAAGCAATTGTTTTGTTTTGTGTTTTTCGCTGGGTTGTTTGGGCTTAGTGGACCGCCCTCTATTATCTTGGATTTCTTCTTAATAGATATTGTTTATATTATAATTGAAACAAAAAAACAAAAAAACAAAAAAACGATGTATGTGTGTGGAAGTAGAGAAAATGCATGGGACAATATCGGTGCATGGTTTGTATAGATAGTGAATTCTTATTGGACCTGTTGGTAAAACAATTAGTATCAAAACCTGATTCGGCTAAGATGCACTTTATTCAAGTTGGAGCCATTGACATGTTGAAGGAAACGACCCAAGTAAAAATTCCTTGATGTGTGGGAGGGTAAAGCAAGATGGCTACTAACAGGGATGGGCTGATTTCTGAATTACCTAAGTTGGGTTGCACCTCTAAGCCTATATTCAAAAATCAGGATTGGGCTGGAGGTGTAGATCTGCCTTGCTCTGAGCAGGCCAACGATATATATTTATTACTTGGGGAGGGACCAACAATATTGTTTTTTTCAATATTTTCCCATATTTGTTAAAGTAAAAAAAATATTTTAAATTCACAATACCGTATGATCAGCTTTAGATGCTAGCGAGGAGGCAACATAATTTTGAATGATATTTTCTGAAATATAACAAAAGGCATGAATATTAAGTTCCAATCCCCTTGCTTCTCCTCCAGGCTTCTGTCTTTATGCGAAAGAGGAAAAAAATAACAACTGTCATTATATATAGACATATTTGAATAGCCTTTGAAAACCCCTAAAATGCTAAATTAATCTAAAACAAATTGTAATCAAGGTAAAATAATAATAATGCATGATTCCATAGCAGAGTTGGAATGATGTCAAGAACTGCACAGCTTGTTCTCTCATGCAGAAAGTTCTCTCTATATAAATTGTTGTGGAAATGAAGCTGGAAACTTTATTAATGGTTAGTAATTTTTCAACACAGGGTTCAAAAACAAGGATGAAAGTGGGTATTTTGGTTATACTTATGGCAGCAGCAGCAACAGTACCTCTACCCACAGTAAAAGGTAGAGTATATTCAGTGGGAGAGAACTTTGGTTGGAGTGTACCCCCAGTACCAAACTTCTATACCAGTTGGGCTCACGCGCATTGGCAACTTGCAATTCCATTACTATCTTGAGAGATCAGTAGTTGACTAGAAGAAGCGTTGGTAAAGGGTTAATGAGCTTTTCACATTCTAATTTAGGCTGTACCCAACCTATAAAACAACAATATTATTCAATGCAATTTTTAATGACGGCACGACATATCTACCTTTTCTAATTTTATTTTACTGTTTTATGGCTCAGTGATGTTAAAAAACTTTTGTGAGGATGTTCGGGTCACGTGGTGTGAGATACAGATTTTCATTTGTTGTTGATCGCAGTTATACATACTTTGCATGCTAATTTATTTCATAAGCAAGGACCATAGAATGTGAGCATATATGCTGAAGTGTGAATGGTCATAAGTCAAAAGTTAGAGTGGCCCTGCATGCGTAAGTGGTAAGTGGGAGAGCAGGACCACTACAACTCCCAAGAAGAGCTTCATTCTCCTCTGGTTTTCTAGTTATATAGCTTCACTGAAAAAGGCAAACTGCAAAAGCGGAAGTGCATACCAACTACTTAGATTTTTTCGAATCTTAATCTTCCCCCAACCATGCACGCTTCGCAACTTTCTCAAGGCATCTTGCTCCACTTGTTTCTTGCTTATTTTCATGCCTAGTTGCCTACTACCCCATCTTAAAATTGTTTAAAAAAAGTTCCAACAATTATCATATATCATTTGTAGACTAAGTAGATGTTTATTTGGGGGATTTCAAGGGAGAAAAAAAAAATCTTAATTAACATACACTTTGTTTGGATTATTTCTTTGTCTTGAAAATCCTTAGTTACTGATCTAAATTGTTTAATCTTGTTTAAAATCTAATTGTACAATTAAAAAAATATCATCCTTAAACTTATATTAGTAAACCAAAATTGTCAAGACAAGAGTAGGATCTCGTGTATGCATTTATGAGATAAGTACTTTTACCTAAAAGCTTGAAACTTTTGAGTTGGATATTTTCCTATCACTTATTCACGCTATACTTATTACATTTACTTAAGCTTTTGTTACTCACCCATTAACCATCTTCAGCAACTTTGTGGCTTTTTCGTTTTAGGTGAGAGCAATTACTTGTGGCTTTTATTGCTTTAATTTTCATCTTTTGAAAGGGGAAACTAAAAAGCAAGAACTCCAACCGAAATTACTTTTGGTTTGGGAGACTTTATTTTTACTTTAGCAGACTATTTCTTTTTAGCTTTCGACTTTCAATACGTATCTATTGTACGACAAATTTATATTGAAGGTATGAGTAGGCATGTTTCTGGTTGCTTCATCAGGGATTTTAATCACTTTGTATTTACTTAAGTCTTCTTATCAATAAAATACTATGGCTCTTTATAAAAAAAAAAGTTTATGTTCACATTCAATATCTTACAGGTGGAGAGAAGGCAGATAAGCCAGCATTCAATTTACAAGTTGTTCGCACTCATTGTCACTCCATTTATTTACTTCCTAAGTAACTCTTAATTAAATTCAATAAAGAAAAGGTGGCAGTTGAAAGCAGCGGCTAACTTCTGAGAAATCAACAGATGGAAAGTCACATTTAATATCTACGGGTTTAAATTGACTCTAATTAGAGAAATTGTACACAAGTTGGTATCTAAAGTTGGTCTCCTTAGCATTTTCTAAAATGTTAAGCTTATGTAAGCTGGAACAATATAATCTGCAATATTGTTCTGCCATGGTAAAAGTATTACATGGTGTTTTAAATTTGGTATGATCTTAAAAGAGAATAGTTTCATCCGCCATTCACCATGAGGGTTGGTGGCTTCCATCCTTCTCCTCCCCTTCCCTCCCCTCCTTACCCTCCCACACGTCCCCTCCCCTCTCCACCTCTACTCCTCGCTCATCCCCTCTAGTCCTTTCCTCATCTTGGCTACATTTTGTGGTTGCTTGGATGTTTTGGTGGCTGGTTGGCTATCTTGGTGACGATGTAGTGTCAAATCGGCTTTTATTTAATTGTTGCGTGTTTCTAGTCTCTATTTGTATTTGCTACTTGTGAGAGTTAAAAGGTTGTAGTTGCAATTGTAATTTAGTGCGTTGAGGTGATGTATATGTCTGGTTTTTCTAGGCCTGCAGGTTTTTTGCCGCCATGTGGGGCAATGAGTAGAGGTATGCACGTTGCATGGTATTTGTAAAAACCACTTGTGGTTATTGTGCTTTGTATTTGTAAAAACCCTTTTGTGGTTATTTGTATCAGTTTTTGTGATTGACAGCCTTTAAACTTAAATTATGAATGCAATCCATCGCATTTCTCTCAAAAAAAAAAAAAAAATTTGGTATGATTTTCTTCCATTATTTTTCTTTGACATACAGACCAGAAAACAAACCGAAAAAATGACCTTAGGACGTGACGTCCCAACTTTCTAGATTACAGGATATTTAGTATAAGAAAAAGAGCAGGGTTTCATGAACTGTGGTATTTTGCTTTATTTATAATTAAATCAAGAATTCAACATTATGAACCAAGAAAACTGTGTATATATGTCTCTCCCGTTTGATCATCGTTCTTTACTACCATGCAGTTCTTCTGTAGGAATGAATTATAAATGCAGTAGTAAAGAGAGATTAATAATGACAGTTATATAAGCTGTGTTCTTGAGCTCCACTCTCTTACTCTCATATTATGCTTTGTCTTGATAAGATAAATACTTTGTCAAACTGTAAATTTGGACCATACATTAAAGTTGATTAATGGTTCAAATTCACAGTCTCACATTGCTAGACAATCTGAAGAAAAAAGTGAAAAAAAAAAAACAGGGGAAACTTGATATTGCTTACAAGTATTACATAATCACAAATAGATATTGTTAACAAAACAAACCAAGTTCAAGGATTATGCTTCTGTGTATAGATGTAATCCACATGAGCTGCCAGAGTCCTTCTCATTAAGCACTCCTCCTCCCCAGCTCCTTCACAGCTCTCATCAACCTCTGTTTCAACACCCTACTCAACACCCAAAATAAATAAATAAATAAACCCCACACATCAAACTCATAACCCTATAATGGAAATGTACAAATAAACTTTAAAAACATGAAAATTCCACAAACCTCAATTTGGGTTTTTGCAGAAGTGGCTGCAGAAAAATCTGGTTCTGGTCTGGCTGCATAGACTAAAGTAGAGCAGAGGAGGACGGCTAGGAAGATGAGGGCTTTAACTCGGGCCATTTCTCCTATTTGTTTTAATTTGTATCATACAAGGGTGAGATTGAATGAATTTATAGAAAAGAGATAAGAGATGACCTTTATTTATGGCCGTGTGAACTGGGGAAGGGAAGAGGCAGACTTTCTGTAGCCGAGTCTGTTGGACCAAAATGTTTGTATTTAATATGACAATTAATAAAAGGGACTTGTTTTTTTGTTTTTTGTTTTTTCCAATTTTTTTATTTTAATTTTTGTATTGTTCTACCCTATGACCAAATTAATAAATTGACGTCGTTGATGTCGCCGGGGATTTGATCTGCTTTGCATGTTGTTTGTAGCCTGGCTTAAGACTTATATTTCAACAGCATGAAGAGGATTTTTTCGGTCCACTTAAAAAACAGAGACATAGAATCCAAAACTGATTCCGCGTTGGCCAAACAATAAACTAAATTAAAAATGAAGAAGGGGGAATATCACCAGCTAATGATGTCAGACTCCCAGCGACGTAATTAAGTTTTGTTTTGGTATGATTTTACAATTACAGTACTCAATTCCTAGAGGCATTTATTGGGTGATGCGGAGCATGTTTGGTCATTGAGCTTCAAATGCGAACAAATTTAATATCATGAATGAAGTTGATGATCCATCCCAAAACGAATTCACAATAGAAAAGTCGCCAAACATTTTATAAGTTCATGCAACATGTAAAGTCTCTTAACATTCCGATCTAGGACTCTTCACTTCACATCTTCATACAACCATTCCACCTCCTGAGAATTTTTTTTTAAAAAAAAAGTCACACAGACAACCAATTCGCATAAATCCTCTTTTCTTTTCGGCGATCAACTTTTCGTATGGACCAGAGAAGTTAATATGGTACTCAGAATGTTCTTCAACCTTTTTAATTTGGTTGAGTATTCAAATCCAATTGACAGCCGTGTATTCTAGAACGCCCTAGCATTCATATTCCTTCGTTTTTCAGCTTTTGCTGAACCATGTTTTGAGTCACCATGACATGGGTATGGTGTTTTTTTTTTCTCTCTCTTTTTTTGTTCGTTCAGGACCAAGTATGAAGACTTTTAGCATGGAAAAAAAAAAAATTGAGTGGCAAAATAACCGACCGACGTCAGAACCCTCAAATAGCTCAGATTTATTATCTGTAATGATAGATGTTGACTCAATTGTTTTGTGATCTCTTCAAGGGTGGCCCTTAGCTACAAACAGCTCAAAGTCAGAAGGAAAAATAGTGAAAATATGTACGATGATCTCATCGTAATATCCGAGCCCATTTCAAGTTCATGACCCCAATTAAGAATTCTTTGCTTCTTGAGTGGCATATATTTCCATTATCCCCCATTGGAAAGTTCTAAGCTTAAAATAATATTAAATTTATTCCATCACGGAAGATAGAGTAAGATTGATTCAATCCTATATATGCTATATATAGGAATCAAAAGTTTTCCTTCCATCCACACTTGTAGTCTAACAACCATCAATTAAACTGTGAACCCATCATCCATGACATAATCCGATGCGTGACACGTGCCGTACTACTTTGACAGAGGAAACAATCAAGGTTAATGAAAGTATAAGTTTTTTTTGTTTTTATACCGATTATTAACCGATATTCTTATTAATTAATACGTACGTAGGTATATATGTATATGTTATGGCCTCGTAATGACATACCTTCTAGAAAAAGGATAAAAATATGAAATGAAACTATATATATAACATTGTGTATACGAACGTTGTTTTGGCGGCATGCAAAAAAGAAATCACCTAATTCGTTGTTTTGCCATACGTAGTCATAAAAATAAGGTCGGCATCCGAGGGAGAAGACAATTCTGTAGCCGTGTGGTTAAGCAAGAGAGCAGAAAATCTACACCTTTTGTTTACTGAAATTGGACCAAATTAAAACAGTGACTATTAATAAAGCATATTAATTATTGCAGATGGTAAGAGAAAGAACATTTGGATAATAGAGTAGGGGTTAAGGCATGCCTATATATGCTAGTGGTTTTGTGCGGCCGAAAGCCAGTGTTTGAACGAGTCAAAAGAGTTTCTAGTTGAAGTTCTTTCGGTTGGTAAAGTGAGCATTTGGTTAGACAAACTCCATATACTTCGTTGGAAATATTGACTGAGAATATATGGTTTGGAAAATTTTGAAGTGCATGAATCTTGGTGAGTACTAGAGGAATGTGAATAGAAAACTTAATGGTTTAACTATAAAAATATCACATACTTGTATGATGTGTGAAATACTGCAGATGGTTATAGTTTTGACATAAATACAACGTTTAATCTTTAAAAGAGCAATTTTGTAGTTTTAGGTCAAAGGTTTTGATTTCATGGATGGTTTTATTTAAGTCACAAATTTGATAAATATATTGAGTCAGAAGTATACATAACAGTAAAATTTTCCAAACTTATTAAGAGTTAGAATTTTGAATATTTCACCAAACTCTCGTTCTTTATTTACATATATAGATTAATTTCTCAAGTAGACAAAACAGTACAATTTAATAGTTGATTCACTCAATTGTTGCAATGGATATGAGGTTGATAATTAATGAAGCAACAGACTATATACAGTTCATGATGAGACCAATCCAAGATATCCTAGTTAATTTTAACGAAGAATCAAATTTAAATTACCTAGAAATACACATGTGAAATCTTTGCTTCTGTCTTCAATTATTAGGTCGCCTTCCAATCAATCCTTATCCTAAGATGAATAGTGATCGTCTCTGGCACTGATACATATGTAATCAGTCACGACTTAACAGAAACAAAATTGTTTTTCCACAACTTTGCATGATTGTATTCGCCGACGCCGTGGGCTCCATGACAGAAACCATCATAAGAGCTTCCCCACCTCTGCTGAACTCGCACATATGAAACCAAAACAAGTTTTGACCACAGCATAAAAACACATGCAAAACTTGGCTCTTGGTCTGCATTACAAGCTGAGATCTTGCCATATGCAAGAGAAAAAAATGTGAATTCGTGTCCTTTTCCCAGTTGCCCTTTTTTCATTGCTTGCCTTAACTGATTTTCAAGCATGCATGGTTTTATTATAATTGTCTTTCACCTTCATGGACATGCCTTTCAAGCTTGCCATTGTCGGTGGAAATTAGCAAGCCTCAATTTTGTCTCATCAGCGCATTATGACATAGAGCTGCACCTAAAGTTTTTGGACTTGACCATACATACGTTCCATCGTTCGCAACAAAAAAGAGGTGCATAGTGAAAGTGCTGTGAGGAAACTGTGTAGTGCAATCAGCATGTAATAATTTAGAAGGGGAAATTTGAAAATGATTGCAAAACTATTACATATATATGAAAAACAATTATCGTGAATACGAAAATTAACTATACTATTCACATATTAGATATTATAATTTGAGTAAATTCGTAATATAATACAATGTTACTGTCATGACATAAATTTTTCTTGAATAATTGGGGCTTGGATGGAAGACTGATCAACGACTGATTACCACTTATATGCAAAAGAGAGTCAAAGAGTAGAAATTGGTGCTTGTTTTTTAGTGTGAACAGAACATCAAATCAAACAAAAGAAAAATATGATTCTCAACTTATGCTACACATCTTTAATATAAAGCGCAGAGGATAATTATGGGGAAAGGCATTTATTATGACAAAAGAAAAGAGGCCCTATCAGTTGTTGTGCCCCACAGTCACATTGCATTAATCAATTGACCTCAAATCAAAGGGATGCGATGCATGCTATAGGAATTTCATAAAGATAAATTTACCAGCACCACTTAGACTAACAACATATACAATTAAACAATGAAAACTTTTTTTTAGTGTGGTCTTGTCTATTTTCAGTTTTGGTTTCTTCTTCGTTTGGGAGGAACTGGAAAATGGAGTGTCATTTACTCATGCCCTCTTTTTTCCATGTAAAACCAGACCAGGGGTTGGACTAAAAAGAGAGTTTAGACCGACATAGAGGTGCAAACAATCTCTGTAACGGATAGTTCACGTCTAGTGGAATTACGTCAAGGATGACTCTCAATGCAAGCAAGCAATTGGAAATGGATGAGGAACTATTGGGTTAAGTATTTTCGTGTATGATGGATGGCGTTTTAAAGAGCCAGAGAAGTGGGTATTGGGCTTCATTTTATTGTGGAGACAGATTTGTGTGCGTACAAGGCCCTGGTGGGGGTAAATATTAAATATCTTAAGGAAAACGTCATTCTTGGCATGTACGTTTTGAAGCTTTTCATTAGCCAACAAAAACTTGAAAGAAATCTTTTTTATGCGCACCTCCTAGCGTTGCAGGTTGAGTGAGTTAGGTGGGTTATGTTGACTTGATATTATATCACATCGAATGATTGAAGTCTTGTTTTACTAGTTTAAATGATTTTGAATCTCTATATTTATTATCGGTTGATTTTGAGTTGAATGTCCACGTTCTACTATAGCATATTATCTACGTGTCAGACCTAACAATAATATATGTGTTGTTCATGTGTTAGCTTGATAAATCTCATATGCGAGTGAAGGGTGTGCTGAGAGTATTATTCCAAACTGGAAATAGGAGTTTTACCATTCCAACCCTATGTCAAATCATGAATTTGTGTGTTTGTCGTAAGTTTGATTGAGTTGGGCTCGTCGAATAAAGACGAGTAGAGATAATTAGACCAGCTACAAGCCCAACGTGGTCTATTAAAGGTGGTCCAATAAGCAGTGCGGTATAAAACTTTTCCACACCATATGGCCTATACCTAGAGGTGTCAAACGGGACGGGCCGGCCCAGCACGGCACGAGCCCAGCCCATTTAAATGAGGCACGGCACGGCACGAGCACGAATATTAATGG